TATAAAACCGGCCTTGTCTTAACCCCTCTTAATGATTGTACAAATTTTGATTTATCTATCGTTGCCAAACACATAAAGAGATGGCGTTAATCAATAAATTAACGTTCCAAAGACCACGAAAGCGAACAAATTCTACCAACCTTACAAGATAAGGTTAGTCACATCTTTTATGTTTTTCCTTTTCCTTCTCATTTTTATTTCCCTCTTTCTTCCCTATTTCTTTTCCGTTTCACATTACATTTCCCTTTATCTTCTCTATCTCCTCCCCCCCCCCCTTTTTCTTTCCCTTATCCTTTTATCTTCCTTTTTCTTTCCCTTCTCCCTTTTCCTTCCCTTTCCATTTTTCTAGCCTTTTGCTTTGCATTTATTTTCTATCTCCTTTTCTTCTCTTTTCCCATCTCAGTTTTCTTTCCCTATTCTTTTTTCTATTTTCTAGCTATTCCTTTTTCACTTTTTCCTTATTTTATTTTCCCTTCTCTTTTCCTTTCCGGTTTTCTTTACCTTTTCCCTTTTCATTCTCCTTTTCCTTGCCTTTTTTTCTTCTCCCACTTTCCTTTCTTTTCCCTGTTTTTTCCCCTTTTCTTTTCCTTTTCTTTCCATTTCCCCTTATCTTTACCTTTCATTACTTTTCCCTTTAGCCCTTCCCCTCTTTCCTTTTTAATTTCCTTTCCATATTCCCTTTTCTTTTTATTTTCCTTCCCTTCCATTTTAATTTATCTCTTCCTCCCCTTTCTTCTCCCTTTCTTTTTTATTTCCCTTTTTTTTTCCTTTTTTCTTTTCATTTCCCCGTTTACTTTTACTTTTCATTTTCTTTCCCTTCACCTTTTCCCTTGCCCATAAAAATTATAAACCTCGCTTATATCTTTCTAAAAATTTTAAAGGCGATATTGAAAATAATATTAATAGATGCTAGGAGGTAAACATTCATACTTAAAATGTTATTTCCCTCACTTTTAGCATTAACCTCAATTTAAATACAAGAATTTACTTACTTAACATCTTTTAATAGTAATTTTAAATTTACTTAAAAAATTTTCTAGGATATAAGAGCAAGATTTCCATTTTTTTAGCTATTTTTATTTTAGCGATTTAGAACGGAAACCTTTTTGGTATAAGTATTGAATTCAAAAATTTGCTTGCTTATAGGGAAATATCTCTTTCAGGCCATTTTGATATTTCAGTAAGAGCATTAATAATCGGCTCGTCAAACTCCGTAAAATCTGTTTGTGATAATTGGTTTTTGATGATTGTCAAAGATTTCTCCAGCATCCTTGTACTTGTTGAATGAAGGCTTTAAATAAAATATTCATCATAGGTATTTGAAAATAATAGATGAATATTATGCCAAGGAAAACTTAAATCGAAATTATTTGATTAAATAACTTAGTAAATGAATATGATAAACAATGACATAATTGGTGATAAATAAAGGATATTAATATTAAATATATAAAATATAAATTAATATAACCAATAAAATTTTTGAAAAATATATCCGGCATCTGCATTTTTTGGTTTGGAGTGGGGAGTTGTCCCTCTGCCCCCTTCTGTTGGGTACGCGCCTGCCAAGATGTCCTTGATGAATAATATACAAAACCTCCTTTTTTAGATTATCAGGGATAATAATCCTATCATTATAAAATAATAATCCTTCTTCGAACGATATATTATCTTTAATTAAAATTATATTTTCTAAAATCTCCGAAAAATTTTTTCATACTAATGATTTTTAATTAATTTAATAATCACTTTCAGATTGATATCATTGCTCGTTTCACTTACGACTTTACTGCAAGTGTAAGATGAATATTCTATTTTACTAATTTTAACTCTGATTTCATCTTCGAATTTTTTTGTAACCTCAATGTTTTTTTCTCTCTACCCCGAAATAGAACAGAGTGTCGGCACATTTGTTTTGATCCTAGGTCTATGAATTATCTCATAGTCGTGGTTTAATAGCTACGTTACTAATCATATTAAACGGTTATTTGTTATTTATTTAGGACTCTTTTATCACTTAAGATATATTATTTAAATTGTGATCCTTAAACCAAAATAAAATGACATACATTAATATATTGATGGAACTTCTCGATAGAGAACATAATCGCCGAATCCTCCTGATCAATGGTGGCGTAATTCTTTTCAGCCTCTGAAAGTGTCTCAATGTGTAAGCAATCGGTTTCTCCTGAAATTCAGTGGGCAATAACAGCTCCGAGACCATCTTCGGAACGTCATAAGAAATCAAGATAGGAATATCGACTGAATAAGGAATTATTGTATCCTGTTTTGATAATATTGACGGTGTTTTACAATATTTTATAGCAATAATCTTATCTTCTCTATGGTGAATTTTGAATTCGTCGATAACATAACCCAAATAAGTAATTGACCTTTCTCCAATTTTAATTTTGTCGGTTGTTGTTGTTACTCCAACCTTATCAAATCTTCTTAATACTTCTTCTATTAACTACATGATCAAAATTATTCTCGCCCGCAATTATTATACCTTCTAAAAATACACTAACCATAGGAATTCCCTTTAATAGGTTTTGCATAAAGCGTTGAAATATTATCGGAGCGCTAGACAACCCAAAAGGGCTTGGATATTGGTAATAAATGACATGAGCCGAAATTACTAAAAGATTCAAACATTCTGTACTAACTCCGAATTGTAAAAATGCATCTCTTAAATTTATCATAGAAGATATTTTACCACCCGCGATTTTATATGTCAGGTCGTCGAAAGTTGGTAGTAAATCATTATCTATCCTGAAATATTTGTTGATTGTTAAACAAAATCGCACATTCGCACGGAACCGGTTTTCTTTAAGATATTAACCGGCATAGCCTAAGTGAAGGAGTTGTTGTGGATTCACCTTTTTGATAACGCCTTCGTCTAAAAGTCTGTCCAACTCAGTTTCAATGGTTCGACGCAACGGGAATGGAGATCTTCTTACTGTTAAACTATCGGTAATGCGTTTGGTTCTATATGGAATTTGTTGGAGTTTTATTTTTCCAAATTTTTTTTATAAGAGGAAATTTCGATGCAAAACTATTTAAAGTGGAAAAATTCATATTTATATAGAATTCTCTAATAAAAGGCATTATCAAATAAGGGAATTCTCTCCTTTAACCACCCAAATTGGTAAAAATCTAAAAATGCTTTTTACTTCGAATTTCACTGTACATTTACCCAACACTTCGATTTTGATATTATTATACCCGACTAGTTTATATGCAGGCGATAATGATGGTTTGCCAATATGTCTCCATGCAGAGTAATCTATCAAACTACATGCAGCACCGGTATTAAATTTCTTTATAAACCGCAAACCATTTATCTTCGCATCAAATATAACTAATATTCCTAAAATTTGTTTTTGGAACTTTGAGTCGTCTTTTGTTTAATAATTTTTCCTTTTCTAAAGAAGACAGCGCGATCTTTAAACTCACGGTATCTTCAAAAGTGATATTGACTTCAGTATACTTTGATTGAAGCTCTTTTTACAACCCAAGCAGCCCTACTCCTAAGATAAAAATATCTCTTAAAAGTTCATCAGCAGATGATTTAAAATTACATAATGAGCAACTTTTTAATTTGATTGAAAAATCTATAATAGTTTTTCCGATTCTTTTTAAAATATAAAATTTAGATGTTGGAAAATACTAGAGATATCCTTAAATATCTTATCTAAACTATCAAGTAAGGTTATATAATGGTCTCTAAATTAATTGGGTAATTGAAAATTTTAATAGTTATCAGCATCTATGTATGTTAGTAACAAATCTTTTTTTTTTATTATGATCGATAATACTTATTTACATTAAAGATGAGTTCTAAATTATATAAATAGTCCAGAATATTCACTTTCAATTTAAATTCTGGAATATGGAATTGACTAGATGTTGATGCTTCTTTGTTTTTCTTCAGAACTATCTTAGAGGCATAGTCTAATATTCTTCGCCTCTTTAACCTTTTAATTTAATACCTTTTTAAAACTTAATCGTCGCCAATGTGGTGTATAAGATATAAAAGGTTTTATAGGAATCAAATATATTTTTATTTTTAACAAAATAAAAGATCAAAAATATAATTTAATTTTAACAATATTATGTTTATATATTGATCGAAAGTACATTTACGATAATCAATCGATTACCACAAATTGTATCCTTAAGCAAAATACAATTTATTTAAAATTAATACAATACAATTTTTTTTTATTAATCCAAAAGTAGCAAATAATTTACAGGTTATGAAAATAAAATTAATATAAATGATAATTGAATAATCTAAAATATTTCAAACTTAAAAACATAAAATTTGTAATTCTTTATTTCCTAAAAAAATGTTCTTCAGTTTTAGTAAAATTATTTTTGTATTGCTTATTCATGAAATATGATATATAAAAAAGTAATTATTTTAAAGGATATTTAATTGCAGCTATCATCGTAAAGAATAAATCATTTTTGAATATTTATCACATATAATTTATATGAATCATATATATAAAGCTTGAATTTAATTTAATATATTCTTACTTAATTTTATTTAAAACAATATAAAATCCAATAGTAAATTATTATGCGCCACACTGGAAAAATTTCTGCAAGCTGCCATAGATGATTACATCATTTATGGTTAAAAAATATATAGTTTAAATAAATAATATAGTCATTATAAAATTTCTGCTTTTCTCATATATTGCATATGAATGTGAAACTGAGAAGAAACTGTTTTCGATGTCACTTTTTCCTGTCACATATCAAGCTACAGCTATCAAGCTTTGTTATTTTAAAAAAATCGTAATTTAATATGAATCTTAATAAATTATTAATAAACGATAAAATATATCTCATATCATCAATATATAGTAGAAAATTTTTTAATTTTCCCTCCTCATTTAAGTCAAAAATTAGAGATTATTCTGAAAGAAAGGAACTGGGGTAAAGTATTTAATTGAAAGAAAATTATTAAACAATTACATAGGTATTCAATGGAACAAATGTTTGATATTGTTTCAGATGTTGAACATTATTATGAATTTGTACCATGGTGTTTAAAATCTCAAGCAATTAATATAGAAAGAAATAATTTCAAACGATATAAATTAGAAATAGGTTTTCCCCCTCTAATTGAACGTTATGTTTCAGCTGTACATCTTGATAAACCTCATTTTATTAAAGTTTGTTATAATTTTTGATAAATGCAATTATTTAATATATGAAAATTATTTTATAAAAATTTAATATAAATAATGTTGGTTTTATTCAGGGTTTTGCCAATATTAATATTAAATTGGAGCCAATATTTAACCTTATTAGGATTAGGCCAATATTTCCCAAAAATTTGATCTGATATTATCATTGCTTTGGTTATTTATGATTTTATTATATTTTAGTAATTTTGTTCACTCTTAATCCTTTCATTTTATATGATCATCATATTATTCTAACTATAGATGATCTTCTTGAGAAAATTAAAGGTGGAACTTAATATACCATTATTGATCTAAAAGATGCATATTTGCAAATGAAGTGAAAAAATTTATAAGATTTAAATATTGCAACACACAAAGGATAATTTCAATATCAAAGGATTGATGGAAAGGAATGATTAAGTCAAAAAGCTTTAATTATTCATATATTGCTGATTCTGTGAATATACTATTAGGAAGCATGTTTATCAGTTGCTAGAACGAGTGGTATTATTGCAAGATAAAGCATGAGGGGATCTTATAAATGCGAAAGAAACTACTGATTCAAGTAGTGATTTAACATTATCATTTCCAAGTATTGTATGACGTTCTTCACAAAATCGTAAGACACCAAAAGCACTTATTGAATGAAGAAATATAATATAGCATATATTATTAATATTTTTATAGAATTACATATTCTAAGTATTTTTATAATTAATTTAGTATCTAAATATTATGTGATAAATAAGTTAAATAAAAGTATTAGGGGTATGTCCTGGTTTGACTTACTACAAAACAGCAGGTTTTTTAGCTTTGACTAAACAGCCTAAAAGCAAAAGAGAAACATTAAAAAAAAGAAAAATAACAAAATAAATACAAAAAATATATACTTATAACAAACCAAAACAGGGTGTCCTAGTTCAAAAGCTGCTTAGTCTAGACTAAACTACTAGTAGTATGGGTGTACCGATATCACTTTTTGTGGCCGATCCGATATTCATGATATTAAATTGATATCGGCCGATTACCGATCTGATATCATATCTAACTAATTTTTAGTGTTGTTAAAAGTTACTTTGAAATATAAATAGTTACAGTTACTAGTTACATTTGTAAAAATATAACTAGTTATTAGTTAGTTATATTTCAAAAGTAACTAGTTCCATAATAATTTACTCTATACATCATTCATAAACACATTATTTATTTACTGAACACATTTATTTAATATAAAAAAATTAGGATATAATAATTATAATCAATTATTTGAAAAAATATACAATTTATTTATATAAAAAAATAATTAAACCAAAAAAAAATATTGGAAAATAGAATATATTTATTAGAGATTTGCAGGCCCAGCCCTAAGCCCGGTCTGGGTACACAGGCTGGGATGTATTTTATTTTTTAAATATACTCAGGCTGGGCCTGAAAATTTAAAAAGGCCAGACCATATATTTTACAACCAAATATTTGAAATCGCTATTATTAGTTATAAAAATTAAAAATATATGTAATATATTTATAAAAAATCCTGGCCAGGTCTAAAAAATTTTCTTATTAGTAAGTAATGATTACTAATTTAGTAGTTTATTCAAAAAATATTTAATTTTTAAATAATCTAAGTCTTTGTCGTTCCTTATACTAAGCTATGATCTAATTTAGTAAAATTTAAATAAAAATACATTTATATGTAATTCCATAAATATTACCAGCAACTTGAGGGCAAAAAATATGGAATATATTGTAAATAGGTAAAGAAATATAATATTAAAAAATAGGTTTATTAAAGCAATGGAACAATTTAAGAAAATAAAATCTATTTGGACGGGAAATTATACTGCATCTTTGTGAACACAATCAGACATTAATAAATTTTAAAAAAAATTATTTTCCTTGAATCGGACTGCCCATCTGGAAATTTTATTGTAGTGGACAAAACTAGCTTTACCCACATAGGTTCACCCATTGGAGGTGAAAGTGCTATATTTCATTTCAGAGATGAATTTCTTGTCAAATTCAATAGAATGAAAAATATTTTAAAACATTTACCTGCTCATCAGACTTTTTATTTATTCAAATATTTTTTATTCATTCATAAAATTTTTCATGCCTTTCGTTCATCAACAATTTTAATGTCCCTTGAAATATTATTTTGAGGTTCATTATAAAAAATACTCTCGAATCTTTTTTAAATATCAAATTCTCTTCACTCTTCAGTATGCAAGCTGCCCTTCCACCAAAGCTGGATGGTATAGGTATCCATTCTCCCATATCTTTAGGCATTTCAGCCTTTTTATCCTCAGTTTCTAAATTTCCATACACACTTGGATATTATCGAATCCACATCATATGGCAACATTAAATCTCTGGAGCAAAGATTCTCCAAGCCGCTCATATTCAAATTTAAGACAAAGAGACTGGAATTTACCAATGATACCTTGCGTTGAATTCTTACACTTTAAAGCTGTTTACAGAAAATCTCCATCGCTCTTTCTCCCCTAAAACGCAACCCCGAGTATACAGAATGACAACAATACGACTCTTTTGTTAGATCAAATAATTCCAGCCTCAGCCATATGCCACCCTGGCTACGAATGGTTAGAAACTATATCTAGTTCTAATTTAGGCTTGTTTATTAACCAATGAAGAACTTAGAATAGCTATAGGTCTTCGTTTTGTGAAATCTTAACGCCGATATCATGTGTCCCTTGTGAAACTCATATCGATAGCCTTAGACACCCCCCCCCATACTGTTGTTTTTCAAAAGGCAAATTATCCAGGCACTATGCCATCAATTCGATATCAATAGAATCTTGAAATCCGCAAATATTCTTTTTACACTAGAACCCTCTGGCTTCAGCCCTGATGGAATGACGCTAGTCCCGTGGAACCAATATATACCTATCGAAGATTTCTTTTTAAAAATACCAAAATTTCCAATTTACCAGAGGTTAACCTGCAGCGATGGTAACTGTCAATATCACCAGCTTCACTAAAAACAGATTCTGAAGAGATTATCGCACACTTTTATAAACAGAATGCGCAAAAAAATAACAATATGGCAGAATGTTTATTAATTAATTAATTAATACAATTTACATAAAAATGGATTTCGATTTTATTTATAAAATAAATGATTTTAGACATAACTTTTTAAAAAAAATTTATAACATTTTATTATTGTTAGAGACGCCATTTTTTATCGGATCGAATCGGAAAATTTTATCGGATCGGATTGGAAAATTTTATAATATTAGCCGATAATCTATATTTTAAAATGGGTGAAATATCGGCCTGATCCGATAAAAATATCGGTACATCCCTACTAGTAAGTATCAAAATTAAGTCAAAAGACACTGCCTAATCTATTAATTTATAAATTATATATTATTTTATTTATAATTTCCTAATAATAATAAATAAATAAAAGGAAACAAAATTCAATTTATTTGTAATGTTTAAAAAAATGAAATTATTTTAAAAGAAAGAATAGCTAAAAATTTGATTTTTTTAAATTATAATTTAAAATGAGACGATTAACCGTTTTGGTAAAAAAAAACAAAACATATTTAATCTTCATGATAATGCACCAAATATCGCCTTAGCATGAGAGACAGAAATTTCAATGTTTCTTGTTTCATCCATAGTTTAGAGTTTGTTTTTTTTGCATAGAAAATATTGTTTTTTTATGGCATTGATTCAAAAGGCAATAAATAAAAATTAAATAAATATCAGATAAGTTTTGTATAGAATAAGAAAAATTTTTGTGGATCAATAAAGCTCTAGTTTTATTTTATAATTTTTGACATGTTTTTTTAACATTGAGTTATTTGAAAACTTTACATCAAACATTAATTTTGTTATATACCTTAAATCTGGTGATAGTTTTATTAAAATAGTTTTTTTTAAATAAATTTTTATTATTTAATTTTCTTCTGATGGCGATTTTTACACCTAAAATTTTTTTTGACAATTAAGTTGACATAACTTTATTTTATAACTCAAATATTTTTAAGATTTATGTCTTTTTTACAAATTCTATATTGATTTTTAATTTTATTTTTAAAAGTCTATTTGCACAGATGGAAAACTATTTCACCATCTAATTGCGATATGGAGATTCCAGCCAACAAATAATAATCAGCCAAACACGTGTATTCTTGATTTTTCGGTAAATAAAATTATGTAATTTTGAATTTTTACCATATAAAATTTTATATACAAAAGACTCTTTAAGCTTAAGCACTCTAGATTCATGAGTTTTATAATATTAAAAATGAATGGAACTTATTAGATCTTAAAAAAACAAATATTAAATTCATTACACAAATTTCCTCTATCTATCAGGTATCCTTTGAGTTTCGTTCCCTTCTTCATTCTCGCATGGCAAATCTCTTTTTTGACGAAGTAGTCAGAAAAATGGTAGGAGCATTTATCAAAAGAGCTGGCCATTTATATGGCACCCCTACTCTTATAAATCCTTTTTACAAAATGGCTACTTCTGAACATCAAAGCAATAATCTAAACTCAATCAAATCATCAAATCAATACTCATCCAAATCATCTAGTCAAAAAATGATAAACTCTAATCATCTTAGTCAATCAGGTTCATCTATAAGCAACAAAAACGGTCACACCTCACATATAATTAAGAAAAAATAAGTCTCATTTTTCTCTTAATCATCAAACCAAACAATATAATTTAATATTATAATAATAAATTTTTAATCCGATTTTTACAAAACAAAATGTGACGATTTGTTCGCTAATAACTAAAAATGCAATAATAATTCTTTATTAATACAATATAATCATTTTTATAAATTTGTAAAATTACAAAAGTTTATATGGAATGAAATATATTCAATTATATTTTTATGAAAATAATTATTTATAGCTAGAGCTTGATGGAACTTTATAAAATAGGGTTTGGTTTTGAATATTTTTCATGATTTGACTGTACGCTAATTATTAACCTAGACTGATCTAGGTCATTGGACGATTGATTTTTTAAAAACTTTTTATAACAACCGGCGTTACCGTTGCTGCCAAAAAATATGCCCCGGAAAGCGTTCCTAGAAATATCTATTTTTTCCCCTACTTTAATGTAAATTATATTTTCTACATTATATAGTATTAATTAAGACATAATTTGAGTTTCAATAAACACCCTATCAATACTAACTATTGGTTATTATTTCAAATATGATAAAAAAAAATTTATTATCTTAATTTTCAATTCACATAATGCTAAATAATGAGAATATTATCTTGGAAAGAGACTGGAAAGAAAATAAAAACCGAATATGAATGATCATTATAATACCATTATGTAATGAAATATATTATTAATATTATTTTTTGGAAAAATACAAAATTGTTAGGGGAACCTTTCAGAAATCACCGTTCTGATTCTTTAACGTTCCATAAATTTCCCCAAGTTCCGTTTTATATCCCAGTAAATATTAGATATGGATGTCAAATAAATCTAATTTATGAATATTTTGAATGCAATAGTAATCATCTTTTTAATTGAATGGGTTTTGGCTATGTGGGGTTACGAAAGAAGAAATGCAGTAAACAAATAACCAAAATAAATAATTAATAAATATAAAATAATTAGTGCTGTAAACATTTCTAAAAAAATCGAAAGCGTTCAACATTCATTGACAAAATCGAACGCGTTTACGTTCATTTTCAAAAAAAAGGTTTTTTTTAATTTAATATAAATTAATATCTTATATCTTTTAACACAATATATTAGCAATGTTAAAAAATAATATAGTTTTATTTTGATAATTTAATTATAAATACAATATAATATAGCGAATAAAAAGATATTTTTATTTAAAAAATTTTTCTTATTAATTTTTAATAAAACAATTGCTTTTCAAAATTTTCTGATAGACATGAACGCTTGGCAGTTAATACTTTATTGGATATATTAAAAACCTGCTCTACAGGGGCAGATGAGGGGATTGCGGTATTATACTTAATAAACAACTCGTTTAAGATGGGGAAATTTATTAAAAACATTTATTGTTTTGTCCCTTGCTTCAAAGAATTGAGATAAGTTATCCTCATTCAATCCATCCTCTCGTAAAAAAAAGGATATCTCGAATTTAACAATTCTTCCATTATCCTTTTTAGGGTTTTCAATGCATTTTTCAATAACGCTATAAGTTTATTTTTTATAGGTTTGTTCTGTGGAAGTTTTATCCATGGCCATAATACTGGATGCATATTTGTAGAAAGAACATATTGATCTTCATATATAATATGTTCAAATCTTTAAAAAAAATAAAACTTAATTAATCTGATAGTGATAAGTTTAATACTTTTTGTTATTCCCATTTAATACTGCGTCTATCAATGGTTGACCATATTTAAGGCCACTAATTTTTTTAAATTTTAAAATAATTATCGTATTGGGATTAAATAGCCCAAATGCATTTTTTCTTCAAATTTAATGATTTTACCTGGAAATAATTTAGAAAATGAATATACTATGATATTTGGTTGGGATTTACATAAGGAAAAAATCCCCTGGGTTGAAAATGAGAATTTTATTTTTGAGATAATTGAATATATATGCATATTGTCATATAGTACTAATAAGATTTTTTGATACATAGTATGTAGACGAGCCTTTAATAATTGATCAGAGATCTGTACCCTCAGCACGGAGCCACCCTGTAAAATAATATGATTTCAAAAAATTACAAACTGGGGCGGGAAAGATTTATTTAAAATAAATTTAATTGCCTAGTTTAAAAATCATTTAACATCCTTTTTATTCTCGTATTACCAATTTCTCTTTGACAATTTACACAATTATTTAATAAATCCCGCACAGGGCCAAATTTATAAAAAAAAATATTGGGCCGTTTTGTGTTAGAAAATTAGATTTGGGTTTAAAAATTTGCCTTCTATAGGTCACTAACAAATGTTAAATTTTTTTAATATAAAATATGCATTTATATCTAAAAACAAGAATTAATTATACGCCTGATTTTAGAGGGTCTAACAAGCCTAGAAATACCCAAAATATTCCAGGCAAGAATCAGGTATCATTTGGTATTATAACCAAGTTTACAATGCATCCAATTCTTCCTTGTTACCAGAAATTAGAATAATAATATTTCTTTTGGAAATGGAACATTGATTGACATATTACTGGCAAGTATCAACTCATAAAATTGATTTCATGGAAAATGAAACACGAGAATCCATGTCCTTTATGACTACCATGTTCCCCAAACTACTAGCACCAACTCTAATTCTATTCATAATCAAATATAATCCATATAATACCCCCCCCCCGGCGTCTTTTCGTCTCGTCACATGACACTTTGTTACGTATTACTATCAGGGGCATCACCTGCCTTCAATTTCAGTGGGATCTACCTTTGATTCCATATCCTAATGCGATATAATCATTTCCTTGTATTTGTATCTAATAGGCCAACTGATTGAAAATATTTGATAAATGGATGAGACAAATAAGAGATGATTTAACGATATTATACTAGAAGATGATCTTGTAATTGATAATGTTAATTATAGGGGGGTTATTTTTTCTTTTCCAGAAATATTATAAGTTAAATAAATATACACTGTTCCAATTGAACTGATGCCCTTTTTGTTTAGCAATAAATATGTCAATTCTAAAAATAATTTAATAAAATATTATAGATTGAGAGAGATATATAAATTGTAAATGTTTTCCGGAAATTCTATCAACAGAGTCCAAAGTTATACACATTCAAAGTTGGACAAACAGTGTAAATATTTATTTTTTTATTGAACTTTGCAATTCTACAATACCTTTTAAAATGTCATATGTATTAGCAATCGATGCTCGAGGCTGCAACTTGTGTTTTTATCTTGAAACAGCAACGTACACCCTATTATTTTGCAGATTCATAGGTAAAGTTACAGTGAATAGCTTATCACCCGTGAACCATAAGAAATGAACTAACCTCCGAGGGTATTTCGTAGAAGTAATTTGGAACGTACCCGACGGGCAATCTTATTCATATCGATTAGGTCCTGGGCTTATTTTTAAATATTTCAGATGCAGCTGATCTTTATGGATAATTCGATCCACTGAAGTTTGCAAAATACCAGTTTCACGAGTTACTTGACAAATTGTTTTGTGTGCGCCAGGTCGGTCTTCTTGCCTCAATACGAATGTTTCAACTCAAATAGCATGAGATGCGCATGGTCTACCAACATACCGTTTTCCTGCTGATTAGTGTTTGCAATTAATCGACTAAAGGCTGCGATGGAGATTCCTTTAAAAACCTTTTGGCTCCATATGTTTTTCTTAAAATTTTAATTACAAAAAATATGTAATATATTAATTAAAAACATAAAAATTTAAACAAAATATATTTATTATTCGATTAAAATATAATAAAAATAGAAGGGGTAAATAAGGTTTAAACAAAAATCAATTGTTTATTTATAAAATATATTTTACGTTAAAAAAATAAATTTTAAAAAAAATTTTCAGTTTATTAAATTTTTTGAAATTAAATATTTTTTGTAAAATTTTATGGGATATTTTATGAATAAAAAATCTTTCACAAAATTTTTAATATATTTTTTAGAATTCTTTAAATTTAAATCAATTTATTTCGATAAAATATGATATATATATATTCCATTTTATAATAATTTCGATTCGAAGAAGATACCTTTTTTAAATAGTAAAAATGAAAATTATTAATACATATTAATTATTGTGGAACCAATTAATTGGCTGTCCGCGATAACCCAACTCCAGATATTGTTGCATATGATTGTAAAAGTTCGTAAAATCATAAGGAATGAATCGCCGAGAGAGCTCAAAATTATTCATAATAATTCCTGATTGCCCGAAATTTATTTTTGAATACAAAAAATTTTCTATGGGATAAGCTGAGGTTAATGTGGCGGTTCGTATTCAATCTTATATTTGTATGCATCGATTAAATGGGTTTATGAATGGATAATAATTGCATCATGTTGTAAAAATATCAATAAGCTCTCGCTGTAATCTCGGAATAATACCATTATAAGCTCCCTCTTTAATTTTATAATGAATTACTTCTCTGATTCCAATTGTGCAAAGAATACTAACAATTTTAACCTTCGAAGATGGGATCGTTATAGTCGGGCGAACATTATATGGGGGTCAGGTATAAATTGGTACCACATGCATTTTGATTCCCGTTTCATCTAAGAAAAATTATTTTTCTTTTGGATTGTTTAAAACTTTCAAACAGTAAATTTGACAGATATTTATAGCCCCAAGCGTATTTCTCCTGTCAGGCTCTTTGCCTCTCTCTTTTCGATTAGCCAATATTTTATAGTTGCCTTATTTTTGGGACTACCAGTTAGTAAATTTTTAATAAAGTCTTGTATCGTAAACATATTCTCAGTCATTAATAAGTCCATGATATTTCTTTAATGGATGAGATTTTTTCCTTACTTCCTCTATTTTGAATACTAGAGATCTCCATTTATTTCTGGAAATGTATCGCGTCTAAATTTATGAACTAACGCTGTATACATTCCAATATATATATTTATATAGCGATGTCTTTAACTTTCATTTGTTGTTTTTCGGTAGGGACACCATTTTGCTAACTATGTCGATTTTTTCATTATCAATATTTGTATATTTTTCTGGATCTTCAAATAGTAGACAGGTTTGGGAGTTTGCATTTAAGTTAGAATTGACAGAATTTGGTAGTAAACATTATATGTTAATTCATATAAATTTTTTTTACTTAAAATATATTTTATAAATAAACAATTGATTTTTATTTGAACATTATTCGCCCCTCTATTTTTCATTATATTCTTTATCGAATAATATATTCTTTGTTCAAATATTGTTTTTAATTAATATAATGAAAACAACAAAATTTATAAGAGAGTGATGCGTGTTTGCCCTTTTCTTGATTAGCCTCTTTTAAGAATTTATCTAAGGAACTTGTAATCCTTTTCATAGCACTATTTTTAAATTTTATGATTTTTTTTTCTCTTTAGCTTTCACCTTTTCTGGTGGTAAGATCCTTCAACATCTCTCTCCACTTTATGTTATTAATACAATCTCTTTTATCTAATTTATACTTCTTTATATTGGCTCTAACTTTATGGCCCCAT